GTGGACCTATATGGACAATTCTCTGCCGAGGTATAAAGTACGCACAAGGAACTCCTTGTGTGGATTTTCAGATAATTCCGTTCAAAAATGTGGCTACAATCATCAAAATACCGAATATCGGGGGGTACCGTTATATAGGGGCTATACGATATTGTGGACCTATATAGATAATTCTATGCCGAGGTATAAAGTACCCACAAGGAACTCCTTGTGTGGATTTTCAGACAATTCCGTTGAAAAATGTGGGTAAAATCATCAAAATACCGAATATCGGGGGGTACCGTTATATGGGGGCTATACGATATTGTGGACCTATATAGATAATTCTACGCCGAGGTATAAAGTACCCACAAGCAACTCCTTGTGTGGATTTTCAGACAATTCCGTTGAAAAATGTGGGTAAAATCATCAAAATACCGAATATCGGGGGGTACCGTTACATGGGGGCTACACGATATCGTAGACCTATATAGATAATTCTATGTCGAGGTATAAAGTACCCACAAGGAACTCCTTGTGTGGATTTTCAGACAATTCCGTTGAAAAATGTGGGTAAAATCATCAAAATACCTAATATCGGGGGGTACCGTTATATGGGGGCTATACGATATTGTGAACCTATATAGATAATTCTCTGCTGAGGTATAAAGTACCCACAAGGAACTCCTTTTGTGGATTTTCAGACAATTCCGTTCAAAAATGTGGGTAAAATCATCAAAATACCGAATATCGGGGGGTACCGTTATATGGGGGCTATACGATATCGTGGACCGATATAGCCCATCTTCGAACTTGACCTGCCTGCAGACAAAAGAGAGATCTGTGCAAATTTTTAGCTTCCTATCTTAATTCGTTTAGACTGTAGCGTGATTACAACAGACGGACAGACGGACAGACGGACAGACGGACAGACGGACAGACGGACGGACAGGGCTAAATCGTCTTAGAATTTTACGCTGATCAAGAATATATATACTTTGTTGGGTCTAAAATGATTATTTCGATGAGTTACAAACGGAATGACAAAGTTAATATACCCTCCATACCTTTTTTGGTGGAGGGTATAAAAAGGGAACAAAAAACAGTAATGCAGATGCATTATCAAGGATCGAAAATAAAATTGTTGAGATCAATTCATTAGAAAACATCCAACCCATTCTTAAAGAGAGCGATTCACCTATAAATTTATTTAAAAACCAACTCATCGTAAAAAAAATTCATTCCGGATCAGCAAGGATAAAAACCGAAAACATCTTTCAGAATATTAGAAAAACTGTAACAATAAAAGAACTAGATAAAGAGTATGCAATTATGATTTTAAAAACCCACTGTCACCCAACACAAATAAATGCAGTTCTGATAGACAATGAATTTTACGACACTTTCAGAGACACTTGTAGGGAATTCTTTTCAAATAATAACGGATTCAAATTAATCAGGACTTTTAAGAAACTAGACGATATAGAAGACGAACTCCAACTAACAAACATAATTGAGGAAGAACATCTAAGCAAAAATCACAGAGGAATTCAGGTAGTGTTCGAGGAACTAAAAACAAAAATTTATAACCCCAAACTTAAATTAAGGATAACCCAGTTCATTAACAATTGCGAAATATGCACATTGGAAAAGTATGACAGAAGACCACCTAGACTACCTTACAAACTAACGGAAACACCCACAAAACCCAGAGAAATATTACACTTAGACGTTTTCTATACACTAGAGAAACAACTTTACTTAACTATAATTGACAAATTTTCAAAACACGCCACAGCATACAAAATTAATGGAAGATCATGGATAGAGTTTAAATCAAAATTAATGCAATATACCAGCACATTTGGAAGAATAGAAAAAATTGTTGTTGACAATGAGTTAGGATTTAAAGCCATTCCGATTCAAGAATATTTAAGGAAAGAGAACATTAATATACACTACACATCAAACAGTAACCATACATCCAACGCAGATATCGAACGACTTCACAATACATTGAACGAACACTTAAGATTACTACGACATGACGAACAATCCAAAGACGAAACGACAGAGGAAAAAATATCACGTATCATTGGATTTTATAATAATACTATTCATAGCACCACACAAATCAAACCTATAGACTTTATAAATGGCAAAGTACATGAGGATAAATATCCCGAAATACATGATCTAATATTAAAGAAGAAAAATAACTATATTAATAAACTTAACAAAAATAGAACCGATATAGTGATAGAAGAAGGTACAAACTATATAAGAGAAATTCGAGGGGGTAAAAATCATAGGAGGTACAGAAAGATAGAATCTAAGAAAGTCGATGAAGATCATATTGAAAACACAAAAACAGGGCATAAATATTACAAAGCACATATAAGACCTCAAAAGAAATCTTATAAAAATTAATGATAATTGTTTGAACAATATACTAAACTTTGAAGAAGCTAATTGCAAAACGCAAACATTAAATACACAAGAAATTAGCGAAATAATTCCAGGAGTATTAATCCTTAAACACTTTAACAGTACGATATCACATAATTGTAACAAAGATAAATTAAAAATTTCAGGAAATTACTTAATCAAATTCGAAAATTGTGAAGTAAACACGTTAAACAAAACCTTTACGAATTTTAAAATAAAAATACAAGACAAGTTTATCCTACCTAACCTTATAACAAAAATTAAAGATACCAGTAACACAACACTTGCAGACATAAAACTTGAAAATTTATATCTAAAACAAATAGAATACGAGGAAACACTGAAACAAGTACTATATACAGATAAAAACTCAAAAATAATTGGCTATAGTATAGATATTTTAATCGGTACATCAATATGTATCTTAATTATATTTATATATCTCTTTAAGAATAAACAAACCTATGTTCCAAATGTACAATTAAAAAACCAAACTATTATAAACAATCCGGCAAAGATAATATAATTTCGTCGGAGCCTCAAACTAAGGGTGGGGGTGTTATAGTATCAACTACTAATTCCCCTCAACGATAGTGTCTCCCGTTATTCCCTTAATGAGAATCGTTCCACATTTTATTATTCCAAAGAATTGTTTACCAAAATATTAATATGCAAATCCAGCATTTTTATAAAATAAATTTCCAAAGAATAAATATTCATTAATACTTTATTTGTAAGAATTGTTTATTAAAATATTGATATGCAATTCAACATTTTATTCCAGACAAATTTCCAAAGAATTGTTTACTTAAATATTAATATTAGCCTAAAACTGTATTTTCTTTTCTGCTGCATTTCCGACAACGAAAATGCAGCAATAAACAGAATTTTAGTATATAAGCCAGTGAAAAATAAAGAAAGCAAGTTATAATTCCAAACCACACCAAACGTCTTTTTTTTAGTCAAAGTTTTTTCCGCAAATAAAAGTATGTTGCTGTTTTCTTTCATTTACTTCCTTGACGTCGGGCTACACTACCAGTATCACGGTAACGAGCGATGGTACGAGACACAAAAGCTGTATTTACATTTAAATGCTGGAGTGCTCTAGTGGCTATAGTCACTTGTGGTTTTCCAGCCAAATATAAAGAAATCACACTGTCACGCTCGAATTCCATCACGAATACTCTTTTTTTTCGAAAATTCTCTTCAAAATGCTTTTCTACGGTAAAAAATATAATGAGCTGTCACTGGAAAAATTTTAACAGCTGTCGGACGAGTGGCTTAGAAAGGACAGCAGTCTGAAGTTGGTTGCAGTTTTTTCATCTCACCCTGTAGGTCCAAGTTTTAGTATGGTTTCCATATTTTTGATGATCTGTGAAACATTTTTGGTCGGAATTGTTTAAAATTTGGTATTTTGAGTTCGTAATGGGTACTTCACCCTATGACAGAAAATTGCTCATGCAGGTCCACGTATTTGTATAGCTCCCATATAACGTCACCTCTCTATAATCTATAATTTGATGATTATAGAGACCGAAATTATGTCAAATTTTGTACTGTAAGTTTGTAATGGGTATTGCAGTCCAGGTTTTCGATTTTGAAGTGAAAATCAGTCAGAAGCATTGCAAAAGCTACCAATGCATCCAGAACAAGTCACAGTTATCTGCGGCTTATGGGATGGTGGCATCATTGGACCGTACTTCTTCAAAGATGCTGTGAATCGTAAGGCAACTGAGAATGTTGAGCGCCAACGTGAGATGATATCCATTTTTATTTTTTTCCAAAAAAAACCTCAGCACGCATAACAATTACCCTATAGAACGACGAGTTTGATAAAAAAAATTTATTTCACGTTCGAGTGCAGGTCCATATCTATAGCCCCCATATACCGTTACCTCCCGATATTCGGTATTTTGATGATTTTAACTACATTATTCACCCGAATTGTTTTCAAATTTTTATTCGAAGTTTGTAATGATTAATACAGCCTATGCCTAAGAATTTAGTATGCGGGACCAGGTCTTCGTATAGCCGCCATATAACGGTACCTCCCGATATTTGGTATTTTGATGATTTTAGCGCATTATTTGTCGCAATTGCTTCGAAATTTGTATTTGAAGATCATAATGCGTACTACAGCCTATGACAAAAATTGTTCATGTTCCTTCCAAATGGTAGAGGGTATTACAATTTCGGCCCGGCCGAGCTTAGCTGCTTTTTTACTTGTTTCTTTTTTTTTAATTTAATGTGTATTTTTTTTTTTTTTTTTTTGTTTTTGTAAAATTGTAAAATATTGTAAAAAATCACCCCTTATATGATACTGTTGTATTCGGTGCCCATACTCTTCTGAGATTAAAAGACAGTTTTTATAATTTAAATATTTCGAAAATAAATATATTTTTTTTACTAAAATTCAAAACAATTTTCAGATACAATTTAATGTTTGACATATTTTTGCAACTGTGTTCTTAAATTAAGTCATTATTTCAATATCACTTTGATCCCGTGGCATTTGTTTACAAATGAGATCTCTGGGCCGTTGTTCTTCTGATGGATACAAAGACGGATACGCCTTACAGTGTCAGCAGACGCATGGCTTTTTCCAGAAGCTTATTATCCGATTTCAGTGATAAGCTTCTCAATTTTGATTTCTTCGATTTCTTTTTGGGATCTGCATTTAGGGCTGATAGTTCTCCAATTTTTGTGGATGACAAAATCTCAACAGATGGCTTTTGGGATTCATGTTTCCGTTTGATGAGGGAGTATAAACGCATTTTCAATGATTTACTTTTGGAATTTGAGGTAGTGTTGGTGGGGTAGAGACCCAGTGGTGGAATGTTTTCATAGACATGATTCTCAATTCGGCTGCGTTCGATAACAAATACCCCAGAATCTTCGGAATCAGAGGTGATACTGCTATCCACGTTTAAGTTGCTATAGAGGGCTGTACTCTGTCCTTGCACAGGAAGTTGAAGATAATGATCATCGAAAAGATCTTCATCCGAGGAGTACTCATCACTGCCACTCTCCAAATCCTCTTCGTGTATGCTGCTACAGGTTGAGGAATCCAAACAGGTCACTTGACGTTTCTTGTGTGTTCTTCGGTGTTTGTGACGGAGTTTTCTGTTATGCTTCGCCCTTTCCAGACGAGCAATCGTCTCCAGGCTATCCACAAAGATCTGCAAATCATTTGAAGAAAATTGTGAGACATCTATTTCACTCTCCGAATTTGAGGAGTCATCCTGTGAGATTGTTGTTGTGAGGGTGGTGGTGGCCTTAAGTGTTTCTTCCCCACTTTCATTGGAGCTCTGCTGCTGTTGTGGAGCAGGAGCCATTGTATGGCCGTAAACATAATCGTATATTTCACTCATATTTTTTCGATGGGAATTCTTTGCGTTTGCCTCAGAACGTTAAACGTCGTTGTTATCCTTAAAGGAGTTAATGCAAAACTGATGCTGTTTCCAACTCTCTGTCCACATTAAATACCAAATTTGTAAAGGTTCAACCCACTTTCACCTTTCGTTCTATCATTTCGTCGTGGGAGACGCCAACAATTGATGGTTGTCATATAAGAATTAATAGGAATCTAAACCTTTACCTAGCATCCTAAGGAGAACTGACTACCTGGCAATCTCATGGTTCTCACTTGCGACAGTTAGAATATTTAAAGTTCTGAGGCTCTTCGGAGCAGGTACTCAACCGCATTTTATAACGAGGTTATTTCCCACCTGTGGTTTGCAGGAGACTAGTCGACAGTTTCTAGGAAATTTTCCAAACATCTAAGGACATAACTGTGAAGGATAATCATATTAGACTTGGCTAAGGCGACAAATGTGCGGTGATTGTGCAAACGGTGCAAGAGGGCTAGGGAAACAACAACAACATGATCAAAAAACAAATAGACAGACAAACACACCGTCTATACTCACACACACACCCGCACACCTCAGACTGGACTTTTTGCGACACGTGTCACTTTAGGTGTGATTCCACAGACAGTGACGACGTGACCCACAGACAATTTTCAAATGTTTTTCCAATGCGCCACACATCCTAGTCAGATGGCTGGCAAATAAACCAGGTTCGGTGCTTCTTTTCACTTGACTTCAAAGGACATGCTCACCCTCTCTTTCTCTCTCGCTTCCAAAAGATAACACACATCTGTGTCACTTTTGTGATCACTTTACAATTGTCACACTGTCCACTGTTTCATGATTTTCCAATTTGTCTGTCCATTAGTGTGGCCAGCCGGTAGGTTCATCGCCTTAATGCACATGCGCCTCCATATGGATGATGACAAGTCTCAGATTTTTCGACACAATTCCCATAAATGCCCAAAAATATGTGCGACACATGAGTATGTCTCGCGATTTTTCCCCAGACGTGACAGTTTGTGATTTATTTCAAATTGTCCCGTTCCTCCGCCGCTAACATGTGTAATTGATTAACGGGCGAGCAAAACGCTGGCTGGATTATCCCTAAGCGGAAGGTGAAATGAGTCGTATCGTTTAGTCGGACGCTGGACAATTGTAATCATGTTATTGACGGGATTATATGTTTGTGATGAGGTCAAGGTTCTCTGTGTATGTGTGCGATCAAGATGAGAGGAGTAGGAGGCGTATGGGTAGTAGAGTTTAATGAGTCTAAAGGGAAAGTTGCTCTAATTTGTCTTTAGCGGCATGTAATTGACTCATTAGCATTTCTACTATTCTACTCATCCCAAATTATCTTAACTTGTAGACAAAATCGAACTTTTTACACCGTTCGACAAAAAAAAACAATTATAGGGAAAGTCCAGCAGATTATGAAAGTAGAGCTCAAAATAAAACCAGTAAGGAATGGTCAAAAGTCGGGCGGCACCAAGTATATGATACCCTACACCACTATGTGTATTTAGTAGAGCTCCCGTACGAAAAGTTTTATATTGGGAATTTATGTGAAGTATATCGTACAAACTGTGAACCAAATAACAGTTCTATATAGTGCATAATGTGACTTCGATAAGAATTATGTCAAAAATATTTATTCGTGCAATAGATATACTGGACCGAGTTTCACCAAATGGTAAATCTCGGTTGAATGTGAAAAAATATAATTAATTTAGCCTGATATTATATATGGTGAGCAATAACCGTAAAATCGGATGAAGATGTATATCGAGGCTATATAAAAATCTAAGATCTGTTTGAATTTGATCTAAAGATCTGAACATTTGGCAGAGGTATATTCGAACAGTCCGGTAACAAATATTTTTGTGAAGGACTTTAACACCAAATCGGAAAAAACATATATATGGGAGCTATAGTTATATCTGAACCGATTTTTTTAGAATGAATTCAGTCGAAATTGACAAAATTCAGTAAATTTGGGCTGATATTAGCCACTTGTTGCACAACAAACCAGATATCGGATAAAGACATATATGGGAGCTATATCCTAATCTGATCCCATCTAGATAAAATTTGACAGAGGTCTTATTGAGCTCCATAAGTCTTTTGGCACCACATATCATTCTTGTGGAGTGCATATTACGAATGTGGGGACTTAAACACCAAATCAGATGAAACATATAGGGTGAGATAAAACAAGTAAAAAAAACATTTAGTTCGGACGGGCCGAACTTTGAATACCCTCCACCTTAGGGTGAAGAAAACATTAGAACCCATTATTACCCACAAATCCGTGAAAAAATAGGGCAAAAATCAACAAAATACCGAATTTTGGGAGGTATCGTCTTATGGGGGCTATACAAAAACGTGGATCTATAAATGCAATGTTTTGCCACACGAACTAGGACCCATTATAACCTACAAATATTAATTTTCAGACAAATCCGTAAAAAAGTGTAGTAAAAAATTATCAAAATACCTATTATCGTGAGCAATACAAACGCGTACCTATATATACTATGCTCCTGTGGCGGAACATGGCCTGTATCTGACTTTTTGCACCCAATATCATTGGTATGAAGATATAGGATGTGAGGACATAGATGTACTGTTGAAACATAGATATGGGATTCATACATTTTGACTAAATTTGACGTGCTAGCTTCTTAACTTACAAATGCCTATTTTTAGACAAATCATTAAAGAAAAAATTGCGAAAATCATCAAAATACCGAATATCGTGGACCGATATATCTCATTCTCTATATCAACCATCCTAGACACAATACAAATTGTTCTGTCAAATTTTGAAGCTGTACGTCAAACAATGTGGGCTGTATCGTGATTTCAGCAGACAGGACTTATAATTTTATGCTGATTGTGGATATATACTTTATGGGGTCTACGGCGAAAATTTAGGAATGTTAGAAACGGAATGACAAAGTTAATATACACTCCATTTCAAGGTGGGGGGTATAAAAACACATTTTAGGGCAAAAGCCGTACTTTTAGTGAGTTTATGCAAAATTTTCCTACAAAGAATCATTTTAGAAGGATGACGTCAAAAACAAAAATATTATTCATCAAATTTCGCTATGAGTCTTCAAATGATAAAAAAAAAGTTATGCTGGCCCATGTCTTCTAGGTCTACGACTTGTATAGCCCACATATAATGGCACCTCCATTTATTCTGTATTTCGATGATATTAGCGACATTTTTAATTGGAATTGTTTAAAATTTCGTATTTGAAATTCAAAACCGGTACTACAGCCAATGACAAAAAATTACTTATGAAGGTCCTCGTCTTCGTATATCCCCCATATAACGTTTTTCATTTTGCCGGTAATTTTCAACGATTTCTTTTTTTCAAAGTTGCCTCATCGAAATAACGGTTTCATTTCAGGACATTTGGAGTCAAACTATGATTAGAAGTCCGTCTGTCTGTCTAACTGGCTGATGCGCACGAAGACTCTCGAAGGGGGTATCTGATTGGATGCAAACTTCGTACATCGTAATATTATTGTCAAACTTAGATCGAGTTCAGAGATGGGCAACATTGGTGCGCTCTATCCTCCACAAAAAGTCAACATTTTTACAGAAAACAATTTGTAAAAACGCGTGAGATCCATCCAATTCTGTGTAAGCTTTAAAAATTCCAATATTTGTATCAGTGCTATATCAGGTGCAAAAATGGACAATATCGGTCCACACCATCATGTACCTCCTACACAAAGAATCAAAATTTACTTTTAACATTTATATAATACAAAGAATTCAAATTTCACACATACCAATGTTTTTCTTAACACAAGAATTAGTGTAAAGATAGGTACATCTCTTCAAAGGAGTCAAAATTTTCAATAACACAATGCTCATAAAATGCGAAGTAAGCATTTAATTTTGTTTAAAATTAACTGGTCCCAATATATTTATTAACACAAGCCCTATCATAAATTCCTAATTTAGCATCAAATTCTCTTCAAATGTCACAAATCACAATATTTCTCTTAAAACAATACCTGGTGTGAAGATGGAATATATAGGAACATTCCTTCTGGCACTTATTTCACAACGGATCAACGTTTGCAGTAATCCAAACTCTCAAAAAAGCGACATATGCATCCGATTTATTCTAATCTTAACAAATTCCAATATTTCCACTAACACAAGGTCTGATGTGAAGATGTAATATATATTTCTATTTTTCAAAGACTCACAATAAAATTTGATTTAGAATAATTCGTACTTTGATATTATTACCAAACACATAATTTTCACTTGTTGTATATAAAATTCGAATTTAATTTTAATGAAAACTATTGTACCTAGATAAGTGATGTATTCTTTGGATTATTCCTCCTAAAATTAAATTTTATGATACTTTCAAGTGTCAACTCGAAAAAAATCCAAGGAAAAATTGATAAAAAAATAATATTTATTTATTTATTTATTTATTTATTTTTTAACTATGATGCTAACAATTTTAAATCTACAATAAAATTAAGGAATTCCGTTCTTTAGTGGCTTATATTGAAATTTGATGACGAATATTTTTGTCTTTAAAGGCATCCTTCTAAAATAATGATTTTTTGAGATTTTTGCACAAACTCACATAAAGTACGGCTTTACTTTGGGTAAAAATGCAACATTTTTCAGAAATCAACAGGATTTTTTTAACAAAAATAAATGCAATTTTTTATGGAACATATTAAGTACACAAATTTCTTTTGTTCAGAGACTCACAACGAAATTTGATCTAGAAAAAATCTTCCTTTGACACTTTCCCCAAACAATGTTGAATAAAGGGAGATTTTGGCTTGGATTGTAAATGATTTTGGCTTGGATTGTAAATGTCTAAAATAAATGTCTAAATTTTCATTTATAGAACATAAATTTCGAATGTAATTTTCATAAAAACTATTGTAACCAGATAAATAGTTTATTCTGAGATTTATAGTGAAAATTTGTGTAGAATATTTCC